TTTTTTTTTCAAATAAAATGCATGAATAGCTTTGTGGGGGGCTTGCAGAGTGCTCCAAAGAGGTTGGGGGGGAGCAAAAAAAGGGCCTGTTTTTTGTCAAAACAATTACATGCATAGCCTTATAGAGGCTTACAGAGTGCTGCTGGGGTTGAGGGGGGGCAAAAAACGGCCCATTTTTTGCTCATTTCTGCCCTCCCCAGCCCCTATGCACGGCCATTTTGGTGAAGGGGCAGGGCTTCAGGAGGCAAAAATGCTGTATTCGATGTATAAGACGCACCCAGATTTTCAGCCTCTTTTTTGAGGAAAAAAGGTGCGTCTTATACTTCGAAAAATACGGTAGGTTCTGCTGGTCAGAAATTGGAACAGATGTCAGTAGACACCATCAGGTAATGTCAAGTATGTGGGGAAGGCTGGTTAGCCAAACAGGAGGCAGTACTCATAGTCCAAAGGTATGAGTACTCATCATGCCAGAACCAATTATAAAACCCTCACACCCTTACTGACCCAAACTGCACCCTCACATACCCTCCTCAGCCCTAATCACATTCTGCATACTCTTCCCAATCTTCACACACCCTCCCCAATCCACACTTTTCTCATACACTCCCTAGCTGGAGCTGAACCTCGGGGCCACTCCCTCCCCCATCCAGCAGCAGTCACTTAGCTGCCTGAAGTCCTGGGTTTTACAGCTTCCTGCCAGCTTCTGCACTGACTTTGGTTGCAGGAAGCTGGGAGGAGTTGCCTTGCATAACACACTTGGAACTCAGTTTACAATGGTAAATGGGACTGCAGGGATTGCCATCACTTAGCAGTGCAGTTGCACTTTAAGATGGCATCACTTAGTGATGGAAATTTCAGTCCCAGTTGTCATTTTCAGTTGAGGACTATCTGTAGTGTAATGGAAATAAATTCCCCTGTCTAAGACCTTGGATTTATTTCATTATAATGAGTATTTAGTAATTATTTAAAGTCCTACAGATTGTACACGTACAGTAGAGGTACAATAATGGGTACCTTGAGTAGGGCAATTTCTGAAAATCCAGTTAGGCCAGAACACAAACTAACATTACCTGTCGTAAGGTAACTCTAAGACAATCTGTTGGCTATATCTGTAAGTAAACACAAATTCTCTCATCTTGAAGTTAAATAAGGTGAAAAGCTGAAGACTTTTATTTCTTTAAATTTTCTCATAGAAAAAACATGGAAAGCGAGGGAGAGAGGAACCTAAACCACGCAAAGTTAGAGGCAACACTTCCAGAACTCTGGATGGAGAGTAACACACCTAGATTTCTAAATGTGATTAAGCCTCGGGCAGAAAAGTAACTCTGAAGGAAATTGGCAACTTGTATTTAGTACATGCAAAATAAAAAAAATCTGATGATTAATAATTACACTCTTTATGCAAATAACATAAGCAATGTAATTCATCTCAATTGCATGTGTCATCATTTAAATTCTTCTGTTTGGTATCAACTGCATTTCACATCACTGAGTGATGTCAGGCCCTATATTATTTAACAAACAATCCTTCCTTGCAACTGTCAGTTAAAATAAGTTTTACGTTTATAATCTGTATGTGTATACATCCCAAAGGGCATACATAGTAAAAATTGATAGAATATATATTGCATAAAAAATAAAGGAAGGAGTAAAAAGATAACATATATATTTAGGTCAGTTCTACAATTAATAAATTATGTATCTTAAAATGATTTTATATATACATTTCTAGAAAGCATTTGCTTCTGGCTTTTGGAGTAACCTTGAAGATAATTTACATTGAAATTAGAAATACAGGAAGAAGTATTTAAACATGGTGGGATCAACATGTTCCAATGGCTTTGGAGAGGTTAAGAGATGAGAGGTAGGTACAAATAAAATAAAATCTGTATTTGAAGTCAAGGAAATAAGATAGCATGAAGACCGGATCTACAACTGTTTATGAGGTTGGCGGAAAAGAGAAAGTTGCAGGGAGCAAAGTGGTTCAGAAAGTCAAGCTTTGGAAGAACCGAAGCTATTTTGCTTCACACTATTTTCTAATGTATGTATCATAAGAAAATATGGAAACGTTTTGAAGCCAAGGATAATTTTTCAAGTAAAATGTTTACTGAAAGTGATTTTTTTCAGATAAAGAATATGATTCACCCATTCCCCATAATGAAACTTTTATAGAAATTCCAAAGGCTGAACATAAAGATATAAAGGGCTAAATGCATTTATTCTGCACCAAGAGATTTGCACCGTATTTGGAGTAACATTAAGAACAGCACTTACCAACTTTGGTCACAATTTTATGAAGTAGATCTAGGTCAGAGCTGCTGGGTAGATAGGGGTTGCCAGTGGCCATCTCGATAATCATACAACCTAAAGCCCAGATGTCCACAGGTCTAAGATCAGGAAATGAACAAAGTGCTCAACAATACAAAGACTAAACTTACAAATGTTTACTTCTTGTCATATAAATGTTCTAAAACAAATTTCTTTCTTTATTATAAATCTTACCATGAAAGGAAGTTCACCAAATTCACACACCTGCTTTAGAACCAGAATTTGGCAGCATTCCTATCATAATACACGTATAATCATAAGACTGATGATGTATACAAATGTGTGTGTATGTGTGTGTACACACACACAAACACTATATTGCCAAAAGTATTC